CAACCGCCACGGTGGTCGAAAAAAACAATACTTACCCAAAACATTATTCTCAACCCCGGGATCACCGAACTGAAACCAAAATCTTGCAAAAACACCCCAAATAACGCAGATATACACCGAAAGGTTCGTTTTTTTACCTTAGTTAGGCTGTGGCTTTCGACTTCTAATAGCTTCCTCTTCTCCGACGAGGCTCCCTCACACTTCTGTCGATTCTCGGTGTGGCAAAGCGTTTCCCTTTGGTTTCGGTTTAGAGCGTTTATGGCTTTATTTTTTTGAGGTTTTTAAGCTTGGTTGTTTTCGATTTTCGACCGAATATGGCTTGGGTTTTTTTCGTGGTTTTTTTGCTATATTTTTTAATGTAACATTGTTGTTTGTTGATCGTTGGTTGCTCATATTTTTGATCGGTTTTCTCTGTGGTCCCCTTTCTTTGGCCTCACCGGTGGCTTGTATAGCCCCGAGTTTGGCCGTTTTGAGTCCCGAAATGGACGAGATTTGTGTGGGTTCGAGATTTTCCGGGTTGTTCATTTTTTTGTTGGGTTAATCGTTTCTATTTTGTCTCGGAATGGTTCTAGATGCATGTTGTTCGGCCGAGATTTTCGAGATAGTTTAGTCCCGATCTCAGGCGGTTGTTAGCTTCCGATTTTCACGTTCTACGCGTGACTTCCACGCGCCACACGTGTGGCGCCAGTGCTATATGATTTAGGGTTTAATACCCCTCAATCTGAACCCTTGATTCATTCCCGATCTAATGGTTGAGATGTGTACGGCGCGACTGGTTAATGTGTGAAAACCCTAATAAGCTCGTGGGCTAGGTCAGACCTACATGATCAAACGGGCTCACCTGCTGGGTCAGACTTGTGAGCTTAGCTGGGCCTGGATGCTAATCGGACCCTTCATTGCTGCCTTGGACTTGGACCTCTAAAAAATGAAAAAATAATATTAACAACAATATAATATAGCATATATAATAAATAATATAAATAATATGTATATTATATTTATTTTAGAAACATATATTATATTTTCAAAAAACTATTTTAAAAACTATATATTATATGTTTTCAAAAATATTTTAAAACTATATATTATATATTTTCAAAACTACGTTTTCAAAAAGAATATTATATATATGTTTTTCAAAACCCATTTTTTTAAAAAATATATATTATATTGCTTTCAAAAACCGTTTTCTAAAAGCTATATATTATATGTTTTTCAAAAATATTTTAAAAGACTATACTAAATAAGTCTCGGACGAAAATAGGTGTCTACAGAGTTAATATCATAATTCTTTTGAACAAAAGGAAAGAAAAAGTGTTCATCCAAGCCATTGTTGACATCGACGGTCCTCACTAGCTCTAACTGAATACCGAATGCAGAATTTATAGGTAGAATACTTTTGCTGAAGCCATTCGAAACCGTTCACATCAAGTTTCCCAGAAACAGATTTCCCTTGCTTCCTACGGATTTGTTGCTCCCAAACAAAAGCCCATAGTTTTTCAATGGCATTCCGTTGTCGAGAAGTAACCCTTGCTACATTGTCAAATGCATGCTTTACCAAGATGTCTATAACTGTCTGGCACCTATGAAGAATACAACATGCAATGCCAATGATGCAATTAGTCTCCTGAATAAAATCAACACAAGAAACTATCTAGGAATTAGAGCATCAAGTCCAAAAGGATCAGATTCATCCTTGTTATTATCTTCAGCTGCGGAAAGATTAAGAGATTATTACCTTGAAGTAGGAGATCGACCATGGAAGGGTATGGAGCAATAGGAGTTCCTTTCGGGTCATCATCGGGTTTCGATGGTAAGAATGGACCGAAAGCCTCCCAACGATAATTTGATCCGTCATCAGAGCAAATACGCCACGTGGACATTCCGATGGTAATTTCTTTTACTCTTTCCATACATATGGGTGATCGAGTTAGTTCATGCATGTTTTTCTCTATGTCAAGCGTCTTTCTCTCTAGAAATAATTAAAGCATAAATAGTTTTCGGGTACAAGGGAAATCGAAGATTTGTTCTTTATGATATAACAATCGAACATTTTTTCATTTCAAGTTAGATTTACCATTACTTTTCGGAATTACAAATGATAATACTATATCATGACTTACAAGAGACGAAACAATGAAATCCTGATTTTCCTTCGAGACACTACAACAAAATATGTTTTACTAGTCAGGAACATATAACAGAAGAAACAACCTACAGAACTTACATGACTGTAGAAAGTAAATAGTGAACTAAATTATAAAGAGTAACACAGAAGCTACTACTATTAAGTTATTTTATTATTTCAGTCGTATTTCTTAATTTTTATATTTATAGAAAGATGGCTAGGATTATAAATTATCCTTAGGGTTAAATCTAGGACTTAGATTAAAACTTAGGGTTAAATCTAGGACTTAGATTAAAACTTAGGGTTAAATCTAGGACTTAGATTAAAACTATATTTCAGCCATAGTTCTCCTGATTTGTTGTTGTTTTCTCCCTAAACCACACCGAAGTAGACCAAATTTTATGTACTAAAGTATAAGATTTCAAGCCTTCACTCAGATAAATGAATAATAGTTCTGCTCAACCTTTTTACACGTTCAGAATACAGTTTAATTCATTTAGCTCAGACTCTTTACATAAGAAATCAAGTTTGCAGTCCTGGTCAGAACTCTCATTACTTTAATTTTAATTGGGCAAGATAAAAGATTACATATTTTTGTCTTAACCAATGATGAGTACAAATCAACTTATAATCATGCAGAAAAACAAACATAATGAAGTATATAAAGCTACTACTGTGGTCCCAGAACTCTCATAGAGTTAGATATGCAAATAGCCAAATTAGAGGTCTAAGGAGAGAGTCACGTCTACTATCGTTAAGACTGATGTCTTCTATTACGCCCTTAAATCAAACAGGCAAAGAAAAGAGAAAACGTAAAATTTTACATCTTCAACTGCTCAATGAAGATAAAGAACAGAAAATCAGAACAGAGACAAAACTACCGTTGAAAACAAGGGCACAACAATCTCCTTCAATTCAACAATCTCCCGCTCACGCTTTGCAAATGTTACAAAAAATGCAGCTTCTTTATCCTTGGCTTTTTCGAGCTGAAAATAAGAAGAAAACATGTAAGTCAGTACGATAGATCAGAATAGTTAATGCAGAAAAATACAGTGAGAAAATAAGCACATCAGATTCTTACTTGTTCCTTCAGTGCCTCCTCGGAGGATTTCAGAGTTTGAAGATAATTTAGTACTAACTTAGGTTCTACAGAAACCGAACAAAAAATTGCTTCATCAAAAAACTAGTACAAATAAAATGATCTATATTTAATAAAACTTCTAACTGGAAATGCTGATACCGATCTTAATTTATGAAAATAAATATGGGGAAAACTACATGAAAAGAGATGCCAGGAGCTATTCCAGCTGGTATGAAGGGCTCATTCTGAAACGCAGAATGACATTTCTGAATCTCAGATTTTACATCTTCAAGCTCCGACTAATACAGAAAATATCATAAAAAATAAATTGAAATAAGAAGAGGTAAAGAGGAGAAAAAACTGATCACAGTTTAAGACTAAATCTAAGAAAGCTCAAGTAATTAGTACTAAATTCTTCAACCATGAAACTTATTCATGGACTAAGCTAATTCCACATGCCCATATGAAATATCATTTCAAAGTTAAAGCAACAGAAAGAGCTAACAAGTCCTAAACACAACTTCCCATTCTAAACCTATTAAAAAGAGGAAAACCATAAGTTAAGCAACAGACTGAGGGGGAAAGGGGTTAGATTAAGGAAACACACACTAAAAGAGTACCTGAAGATTGAGCCTTGAGGAGAGACGATGGTGATCAGAGGAGCGACAATGGTGACCGGAGGCGCGATGATCCGGGCACCGAGTTGGAGAAGATGTTGTATACCAAAATGAGGAAGAAGAAGTTCTAAAGATGTTGAAATGAAATTATGGATCGGGGAAGAGGTTGACATATATTAATACTTTTGCGGCGTTTCTCCAAAAAACGCCGCTAAAGTACGCATTTTGTGGCAGTTATCTACAAAATGCCACTATAGTACGAGTTTGTAGCGACGTTTCTTTAAAAATGCCACTAAAATACGCGATTTTACGGCGTTTGTTGAAAACCCCCACTATAGATGAACCCTATTGCATCGTTTTTATACAAATGCCGCTAAAGTACTATTCTATTACGGCATTTTATACAAGCGCCGCTAAAGTAATACTTTGTCACGACGTTTGTTAAGAAACGCCACTATGAATGAACCTATTGCAGAGTTTGTATAAAAAACACAACTAAAGTATAACTCTGTTGCGGCGTTTGTTGAAAAAAAGTCACTATAGATGAACCTTATTATGACATTTTTATACAAACGCCGTTAAAGTTACCATTTTGTGGCGTTTGGAATGTAAACGCCGCTATGTGTTTAAAGTTAGTGATGTTTACTCTCAAAATATCGCTAAAAACACTATTGTAGAATAGTTTTGTTGTAGTTATCATATGGTGATTAAAATACAAATGGAGCAAATTTGGGGGTTAAAATTAGAAACTATGCCCACATTAAACCATGAAACATTATAATAACCATATTCCAAACATTAATGTTAAGATAAACCCATACATTTGATTTAAATAAAAATAAAATCTAAAATGATATGTCAAAATAAAATGGTTAAATTTTGGGATTAAAACACAATCCGGAAAAATTACAAGTTAAAAAATAAAAACATCAAGAAATTAAAGATAACAAAATATGGGACCGAAATGAAATGCGTGAAAATATGAAGGACAAATTCAAAATCTTGAAAATACTTGACCCGGGGACCTCAACGCAACACTATGAAGCTAAAGGGACTCTTGCACAATTAACTCTAACTAACCGGCTACTCCCAAAACGCCGTCGTTTTAGTGGAAACATATATATGATATAGTGGGTAAAGATGAAACCCTAATCCCATTTTGCATAATTTTTTATTATAAAAATTCTCTCATCACCGGAGCATCTCTCCTCATTTTTTTTCACCCTCAGCAAAAGAACAAGCTGCCACCGTGCTTCTCCACTCCGGTTGGCTCCGATAAGGGTTGCAGAGACTACCCAGAAGCCTAAATGACACGAAAGCTTCCCCCTTTTACTCAACAGTAACCCTTGAGAGAACGCTACCACCACCCTTGGCCATAAATCAGCCAACCCATGCTACGACCACCACCAGCGGTGGTCGGGTTAGACAAAGCCTAGACCTATACCTAAAAATTGACTTCTCTTCTACCCCAAAACTACCAAAATCAACACATGCAAGCTTAGATTCGACCCCTCATCTTCTACCTTTAACTGCTGAAAGGCTCAACCTTTTTGCTACCTCGACGACTGACGACTGACAACCGACGGGACCGAAGCAAAACCCAGGTAACGAGATCTACCCGTCTGCCTCTTTCTATTATTTCAAAACAACACATGCACATCAAAGAAACTCAAAAATTGGAAAAGAAATGACTAAGGATACCTTGGAAAAAACGGAAATGTTTGTCTTGGTTTTCTTTTGATTTTGAAAAAGGCTCTCTCTTTACACTTGTTTCTTGGTTTATCGAATAGGAGAAGCTTTTCTTTGGTTTGAATCCTCTGCGTTTTTCTTCGATGGTGGAAGGAGTTTCCTCTTCTCCAATGAAATCAACCGCCGCGGTTTGCAAAGAAAGGTAAGGGTTTTCGTTTTTTTTTCTTTTCCTTTTCTGGGTTCGAATGCCTCTCCTTTATTTTTTTTAGGTTGCTGATGAATTCTTTTTTAGATGGTGGGTTTTTTTATCTTTATTTTGGTTGGTAAATGCTTCTGATAAAACTCTCTGGTTTTTCCTCCCCTCCCTCTCTTCGTTTTGCTTGCTTTTTTATTGCTAATTTCCGAATGGTGTTGCCTTTTAGTAAAAAAAATGAAAGAGAAATGTATTGTATTGCTTGGTATTTTTCTTTCGAAGATGGGTAAGAACCCCTTACATTAATTGCTTCGTTCTCGAATATGGGGGAAAGACTCTTGTTACATTGCTTCCTTCTCCAATATGGGGGCCGAACCTCCTTACAAAATGATTTGCTTCGGGTTTTATACCCTTTTCTGTTACAAAAGGAATCTAAAAATTACATTTTGTTCTCTCTTTCTTCCTTTTTTTTCTTTGTGCAGGTTGATGACGAAGCCTCTTTGCTGGTGTGGGTTTGATACACCATCTGCTGCTGAGAGGATGAGCACCATTCCAAATGCACAATTGGCTTTTCTGGAATGTTGGTGACGAGGCTCGATTGTTGCTGTGATTGCTCACGTGGAGGAGAGGGGACGTCTCTATTGGGATTTGTCGTTGGGTTTAGTAATGGGTCTCAACTGGGTCTGGGTCATTTTGTTTGGGACAAATAGATTGGGTTTCAGTTTAGGTTTTGAACGTCTATTTGGGTTTTATAAATGGGGGTTATGTATAAATGGACATGGACATTATTTTAATGGTTAATTTTTGATGAAAATGGATGAACATGAATAGTCACCGGTCCAAATAATCCAATGCTCAAACTTAAAATTAAATCTTCAAATTGATCTCCAAATTTTCCATTTGTATCATGAATGACCCTTAGATTGGATTTATCATCAATTTACGAATGTATTCAAATCGTTCTTTGATCACCTTCAAGTTGAATTAAATAATCTAGACAAAATTAGGGTACAACATGTATGTCTCTGTTTTTCACCTGTTATTAAAACTGCAGTCATTGGATCTGCACTTGAAGTACAGAGCCCAGTAAAGATATTTTTGAAGAATTTAAACCAGCTGAAGGAAACATGATGGAAAGTAACCAAGTATCATGAATTCTTTCGATTAAAAATGTTCCAGACTTGAAGAGTATTACATTCAGATTTATAGATGATCAATCAATGATTTCAAATTGCTTTCTTCACAAGAGTTAGTATCATAATTCTTCTGAACAACAGGAAAGCCAAAGTGTTCATCCAAGCCATGTTGACATCGACGGTCCTCACTAGCTCCAACTGAATGCCGAATGCTGATTTTCTAGGTAGAATACTTTCGCTGAAGCCATTCGAAACCGTTCACATCAAGTTTCCCAGAAACAGATTTCCCTTGCTTCCTACGGATTTGCTGCTCCCAAACAAAAGCCCATAGTTTTTCAATGGCATTCCGTTGTCGAGAAGTAACCCTTGCTACATTGTCAAATGCATGCTTTACCAAGATGTCTATAACTGTCTGGCACCTATGAAGAATACAACATGCAATGCCAATGACGCAATTAGTCTCCTGAATAAAATCAACACAAGAAACTATTTAAAAGCAGAGTTTCCTATCCTTGAAGTAGCAGCAGCAAGCAATGAATGGCGTCTTACAACGCCGAGCAGCAATCTCTATAGGTTGTTATTATCTTCAGCTGAAGACACTATAGGTTGTTTTTCATCCTCGTAATTGCCAGTTTTAGTGTCGTCCTTCAGGGTAGCAGCTTCATGTGTGTCATCCTCAGTCGCAAATGGAAGACGGCATATATCATCTTTTAATTTACTAGCTGTTTTTTAAAACTATAATGAAGTTCAGAAACGGCTAAATTACATAACTGACACCGTTTGCTTTTAATTTTACTTTTCTGACACCGTTTGACTAATATTTCCAGAAGTAGCACCCTTTCTGCTGAGTTGGCAAAGGCGCGTCCCCGGGGGCGCGCTTTACCCGTGTTTTTCGCTGAGTTGGATGCCACGTGTGGAAGGTGCGTCCCCGGGGACGCGCCTTTGCCAACTCAGCAGACACGTATTTTGTTTTATAATAAATAGTTTATTTTTATTATTATTATAAATTAATAATATATATGTAAAATGTTTCGATTATAATGTAAGAATTATCAAGTTTCGAGTATTTTGATTTTGATTATCGATCTATTAATTTTATCAGTTAATTATTTAAATGTTATCAATCTAGTCATCTCATATCAATATTTAACGAAAATATTGATGCATAAGTTAATAAATTAGTATAATTACATATTTAATCTTCAAGACTTACATATTTTATAAATTAGTCTTATTGAAAATTTAATTTAATAAATTTAATCCTCCAATCAGAACATGAAATGTGTCATCGTATACATAAATTTTTTAATAACTTTTAATTTGTTTAATTTAATATTTTTCTCTACTTAGAAGGTGGAATTATTATTATATTTTAAAAAAAATTATAACTAATAATATTAATTATTATATTAAATAAATATATTAAATATATTTATGTATTTAAAAGTTAAAAAAAATTATTTAGGTGTACATACATTGACAAATTATATAAATGCAATAACATTAAATTATTAGAAATAAAAACATTCATTTAAATACAATATTAATTACATAAGAGTTAACGGTTATATGATGATAACAGAGCTGGACATTTTTTTCTATTGTGCCCGATGTTTCTACAATGCCCACATCGTTTTTGTTCTGTTGACTTCTCCCGAATATCCATATCACAATGTATTCTAGTAGATTTTGGACGACCTGAGTCCCTCAATAGCAATGGATCTGGTACAATTGTAAGCCAAGTTTGAATCTCATTTGGGTCTCTTTCGTTTCCTATGGGCGGAAACTCAAATTCATATACCTTGAATACTTGTGAAAGTTTGTATACGGGATCAACATAATTTTTGTAGTCCAAATGCGAATGTGAGCAAGCAGCAATGACATGAGAGCATGGATATTTGAGTGCTTGAAAGAAACCACAATCGCACCACCTCTCTTGCAGATTAACTCTGAAAGAGTTAGCTTCAATCCCTTGCAGCGGACGTGGCATTTCGGTTACACGAAACAATTCACGGGTGCGAGAAAAATTTGTAACTAACATCCCATTTGATGCAGCCATTTTTTTCTGTAAATCGGCTACTAGTCTTGGGTGGTAAATATGTCCGTTTTGCATCCAAGTAAGAGCTTGTCCACCGAGTTTTGCAAAGAGTTGACCCAAACGAAAATAAGTCGTTTTGACCAACGCCGTGACTGGTAAATGACGCGCCCCCTTTAAGGTTGAATTTATTGCTTCAGCCAAGTTTGTTGTCATATGACCATAGCGATACCCCCCGTCATATGCATTTGTCCACATTTCTTTGCTGATGTCCATAATGTACTCGCACCCCTTCTTATTTTTGCCAAACAGCTCTTGTAGCATCGACTCAAACCTTTGAGGTAAGAGTTCGTAACCTAAGTCATTAGGAATATGTAATAGTTAATATGAAGTATAAATAAGTAATAAGAAATTGATAGAAAAATTGGGAAAAAGTAACATACCCATCCGCACGACTAACTGACGTTCATCGTTCTTCTTGTATTTTCCGTAATAGTTTGCAGTAATATGACGGACACAATAACGATATTGAACATGTGGAGGTCTATACATTGTACCCAAAGAGTCCATTGCTGCTTTTATCCTGGCTCCTCGGTCTGAAATAATGCATAGTCGTTCCCTGGTGACAACATGTAAACGTAAATTTTTAAGGAAAAAAGCCCAAGACTCAGTGTCTTCTCCTTGAACGAGGGCAAACGCAACATGAAGAATATTGCGGTTTCCATCTTGGACCACAGCCAATAATAAAACTTGCTTGTATTTCCCATACAAGAAAGTACCATCAATTTGGACAATTGGTTTGCAGTACTTGACTGCATTAATACACTGAGGGTAAGTCCAAAAGACTCGGTAAAATTGGCAGCGATCGCGAACCATTCGATCATTCACGTAATGATGTTGAGTTTCGAACTCAACAATTGTCCCGGGATTAAGTCTTTGCACAACATGAAACCAACTGGGCAGCTCGTTGTAAGAGGAATCCCATTTGCCACGAAGTTTGCAAATGGCATTCTGTTTTGCCAACCACGCTTTTTTATATGAGACAGTGTACCCATATTGTGACTGTATAGCAGAAATCAACACTGCAACAGCTATATGAGAGCTTTTCTTCACAATGGGCATGATTGCTTGACAAATAATGTTGGAGTCCAAGTTGGGATGATCCTGGTTTATACCTGTTGCACAACATGTATGAGGACCGTTGTATCTGGTTAGTTCCCATAAGTTGTTCTTCCTCTTCCTCTTTGATACACGGACCATCCATTGACATCCGTTGTGACGTTGGACGCAGTAGCAGACATATTTCTCCGTGTTAGATCGATCAACTCGGGACTGAACTGAGTTACGAATATTGTAACTCTTTATTGCCATCATTGCTTCCTCCTTCGATGCGAACTCCATTCCAATATGTAAATTACCGTCATTGACTGATGATTGAAGTCCATAGTTGCTAACATCAGGAAGATCTGGAAATTCAGGCTCATACATTGCATCATAATCAGCCTCATACATATGTGCAGGAAGTTCGACTGGTGTTGTATTTATCGGAACGTCATCCTCGTCATCATCAGAATGTACGTTAAACTGTGGTGAGTCAGGTTCAACGAATAATCCCGTTTCAGCACCATCTGCACCTGGCTCCCGAAGAGGTTCTTCTGGTGGAGATGAGGGTTCCTCCGATAATCCAATGTTGAGGTCAAATAAGTTCCCGCTTGTGTGTCCTCCCCTTGAACTTGAGGCCATTGTATCATGTGGGATGTGAATAGACTATCGTCTCGTTGGCATTTCCATATGTAAGTCGAAAACATTGGCAGATGAATGTATGCCCCTTGAAGTAGAAGAGATGTTGCCATATGGATTATTGGTGAAGCCACGTGGGTTGATATCATAAGCAGTTGCAGATGAATGCCTTCCTATTGAACTTGATGGCATGGTATATGGCGTTGGATCCGCCATTAATGATGTGAAATCATTACAGATCAGTTGTGTCGGGCTATCAACTTGATCAGTTTGATATGCAATGCCAAAGTGAGAGGAATATGAGAGACCACGAGTTGCACGAACCTCAATAAAAGTGGCATACATTTCAATAAGAGATTGTGAACTCCCCATATGAGCATCAACCATCATAGAAACATCATCATCGTTTGAAAGCTGAAATGATGTATACGTGAGCGGAAAAAATTCAGTAGGAAATCTGTACTGAAGTGAAGATAGTCTTCTCTGGCCTGCTACACGAATCTTTAACGAAATTTTTGTGATTAACTCCTCAATTGTGATGTTTCTCTTCAAGGTTAAGGGGATATAATGATCTGACTCAAAAACAACCCCCTCTTCAGCTTCCTTAATTTCTCCATCGTACAAAACAACAGTAGAAAGACGACTCATTTTCAGAGAATTTGAGAATTTAGAGTTTGAGAATTTGAGAATTTGAAAGATTGTGAACTGAAGTTTGTTTTGAAAGTTTATAATACGTTGCATATAATAGTGTCTATAATCGGTTCACTATTCACATGAAGGCGCGTTCCCGGGGGCGCGCCTTCCATTATTTCGTCAGAGAATATGTTATCATTGCCCTATTATGTCACTCATGTCCCTCGGGGAC